GCCAGCATCTTACACCCTGCAGTTCTGTGCTGGACTGTCTCAGGAGCCTCTTTGCACAGTCGACACCGTGGGTCTTGTCTGGTGTGGTAGATCTGGGCCTCTATTACTCGAGTACCCAGGTCCTGCTCCTGAGCTCCAGGATCAGTGCCTCTGTGTGTCCTTCAGACCCTCTCAAGACATTGGTAGGATTTCTTGATATCAGCCACTTCAGTTATGTTCCGGTGGTTCGCCCCATGTAGGGGTTTGTCCTGCCATGATGGTCCCTCCAGCACCTCTTCCTCTGGACCCCACTGTCTGAGACATTCTCTAAGCTCCTCATCTGTTGGGGCCTTGTCCTTGATGTTCTCAAGGAGCTTGGATGTTTCATCATGGACAGTGGTTTCCCACACTCACTAGTCCTAGGCCCCCTTCCTTCCGGCCTGCGTACAGTCTCAGGGAGCTGGATTTGGGATGGAACCCTCCACATGGTCAGGAGCTTTCGTGTCTTAACATCTGTGGTCTGTATCTCCTCCTTTGGCCATCTTACAATCCCTGCAGGGATCTGATCACTGACAGGGCGTAGCTGTTGATTGCCTGCACCTTGTTCTTCCATTGAGCTGCTTCTAAGGACTTGCCTCACTCTTTGCAGGTATTTGGCCGTAGCCGCTTTCCTTGTTGCCTCTTCGAGGAGCCATTTGCTTGTGGGATACCAAGGTACTTGTAACTGTCCTCAACGTCTGCTATTGTTCCCTCTGGGAGTGACACCCCCTCTGTGTGTTCTACCTTCCCTCTCTTTGTCACCATCCTGCTACATTTCTCAAGCCCGAATGACATCCCAATGTCTGTACTGTAGATCCTTGTGGTGTGGATCAGTGAGTCGATGTCTCGCTCACTCTTAGCGTACAGCTTGATGTCATCCATGTAGAGGAGGTGACTGATGGTGGCCCCGTTTCTGAGTCGGTATCCATAGCCAGTGCGGTCGATTATTTGGCTGAGGGGGTTCAGATGCAGAACAGTAGTGGGGACAGTGAGTCTCCTTGGTATATGCCCCATTTGATGGACACATGTGCAAGTGGCTTCCCCTTGGCTTCAAGGGTGGTTTTCCACAACCGCATCGAGTTTGCAATGAACGCCCTTAGAGTCCTGTTGATATTGTACAGCTTCAAGCACTCAGTGATCCATGTGTGTGGCATTGAGTCGTAGGCTTTTTTGTAATCAATCCAGGCAGTGCACAGGTTGGTCTTACGGGTTCTGCAGTCGCGGGCGACTGTTCGGTCAACCAGGAGTTGGTGTTTGGCTCCCCTGGTGTTTTTGCCGATACCCTTCTGTGCTGTGCTCATGTATTGATTCATGTGCCCACTTAACTTAGCCGCAATGATGCCTGACATGAGCTTCCATGTTGTGGAGAGACAGGTTATTGGCCGATAGTTGGATGGGACTGCACCCTTTGAGGGATCCTTCAGGATCAGGATCGTACGCCCTTGGGTTAACCATTCAGGGTGAGTCCCATCCCTTAGCAGGCAAGGCAAGGCAAGTTTATTTGTATAGCACAATTCGTACACAAAGTAATTCAAAGTGCTTTACAGAATAAGAAATACATTAAAATCATAATAAAAACAAATCAAAACATGAAGATTAAAATTAAAAAAGAGAGAAGAGTGCGGAATGAAAACCTTTCAGTTATTTGCACAGTTAAACAGAAATGTTTAGAGTCTGGATTTAAACAGCGTCACAGAAGAGTCTGTCTCACATGTTCAGACTGTTCCAGGTTTTAGCTGCATGAACCTGAAACTCTGACTCCCCTTGTTTAGTCGTGACTCTGGCACCAGCAGGAGGTCGTCCCTGAGCTCCTCAGAGTGTGAGATGTTCATATGACACTAACATGTCACAGATGGACTTTGGTGCTCGGTCATGGAGACACTTGTACAAACAGAGACGCTTTAAAGTCTCTGAGCCACAGGAGCCAGAGCAGAGACCTGAGACCAGGACACATGTGCTCGTACTTCCTAGTTCGAGTCAGGACCCGAGCTGCAGGCTGGATGTTCTGGATGGATGTTCTGGATGTTCTGGATGTTCTGGAGATGTTCTGGATGTTCTGGATGTTGTGGATGTGGATGTTCTGTTGTGGATGTTGTGGATGTTGTGGATGTTCTGGATGTTCTGGATGTTCTGGATGTTGTGGATGTTCTGGATGTTGTGGATGTTCTGGATGTTGTGGATGTTGTGGATGTTCTGGATGTTCTGGATGTTCTGGATGTTCTGGATGTTCTGGATGTTGTGGATGTTTTGGATGTTGTGGATGTTCTGGATGTTCTGGATGTTCTGGATGTTGTGGATGTTCTGGATGTTCTGGATGTTCTGGATGTGGATGTTCTGGATGTTGTGGATGTTGTGGATGTTCTGGATGTTGTGGATGTTCTGGATGTTCTGGATGTTCTGGATGTTCTGGATGTTGTGGATGTTCTGGATGTTGTGGATGTTCTGGATGTTGTGGATGTTGTGGATGTTGTGGATGTTGTGGATGTTCTGGATGTTCTGGATGTTCTGGATGTTCTGGATGTTCTGGATGTTCTGGATGTTCTGCAGCGTCTCACAGCTCGTTTGGAGAGACCAGTGAGCAGAACATTACAGTATCTAACCTACTGGAGACAAACACATGGATAAGTTTCTCCAAGTCTGATTTAGACAGTAAACCTTTGATTTTTGCTCTGTTTTTTAGATGGTAAAAGGCTGCAGATGTTATTGATTTTATGTGACTGTTAAAGTTCAAGTCTGAGTCCATTATTACCCCGAGATTTCTTGCCTGATTTGAAGGTTTTAGAGAGAGAGAGACTGGAGGTGATGCTGACACTGTCCCTTTGTTTCTGTGGACCAAACACTATGACTTCAGTCTTGTCAGAGTTTAGCTGGAGAAAGTTGTTTTGCATCCACACACTGATCTGTTGGATGCAGTGACCAAGTGACTCCACTGGTTCATAGTCTCCTGCTGCCAGAGAGACGTAGATCTGAGTGTCGTCTGCATAATTGTGGTACGACACGTTATTGCTGCTTATTAACTGGCCTAATGGCAGCATGTAGAGATTGAACAACAGGGGGCCCAGGATTGACCCCTGAGGCACCCCACAGGTCAGGGCCATGTCATCTGAGACACAGTTTCCAATTTCAACAAAATACTTCCTGTCTTCTAGATAGGACTTGAACCAGTTTAGTACAGTACCAGAGATGCCCACCCAGTCCTCTAGTCTCTGTAAGAGGATCCATGATCGACAGTGTCAAAAGCAGCACTCAGATCTAACAGGATCAAGACTGAGACTTTGCCTGCATCAGTGTTCAGGCGGATGTCATTTGTCACCTTGATAAGAGCAGTCTCAGTGCTGTGGAGGCTCTAAAACCTGACTGGAAAACATCAAAGGAGTTGTTCATTTGGAGAAAGTTCGTAAGCTGTTGGTAAACAGCTTTTTCAAGGACTTTACCAAAAAACGGCAGATTTGAGATGGGTCGGAAATTGTTCAGTCCTGTGGCATCAAGACTGCTCTTCTTTAGGAGAGGCTTAATGACCGCAGTTTTCAACGCATTTGGGAATGTTCCAGATTGAAGTGACATGTTCACTATGTGAGTGAGTGGTGAAAGTAAAACTGTTGAGGACAGACTTTAGAAATCTAGTGGGTAACATGTCCAGGCAGCAAGTAGATGAACTCAGACTGGTAACGATCTCTAAAACAGTTTTGTCAGTTACAGGTGCAAAGTGATTCAGCTCTAAGTGTCTCTGTGGCTGCAGCTTGTTATTTGTGTTGTGGAATTGATGCATTTTTGATGCCCTGAACTTTGTCATTAAAGAAAACTGCAAACTCATTACATTTAGATGTGGAAATCAGTTCTAGTGGCAGTGGAGCTGGAGGGTTTGTTAATCTGTTCACTGTTGCAAACAGGACACGAGAGTTGTTACTGCAATTACCAATAATG